TAACTAATTAAGATTAAGTTGATTTTGTGTTATATTATTTTTTGTAACAAATTTCGTCATATAATACACAAAAATTTGTCAAATTTTTATTGGTTCAGTCATTTAAATAATTCTGTGATTGAATATTAATCAAAAATATAATTTTTATTTTTTGGACTGGTTCAGGACCAAGTCTCAAATTTAGGATCCGGTCCTAATAGGACCCTTATATAGGACCAGGGTCTGATGGTCCAGGACTCAGACTTTAACAACTCTAGAATGAAGCCAACTTTCTAAAAGAAACTGTTTATTAAAATATTTATTAAGAAAAATTATTACTACAATTAGATATAAGAATAATATACTAAAGGAATCCTTTAATAGCATTGCTGATAAATTATATCATATTTAGGTAAAAATAAAATAATTCCAATCATAAGAAATTGAAAGCATTAGTAGTATTAACTCAATTACAAATAACAATTGTAATAATACTTCAGAAAGTATAGAAAGAGATCAAAATGATATTATCATAGCATCTTTTCAAGGAAGTAATGAAAGTTTTCTAGGAATGACACTACTAATAGCAATAAATAGACCATTATCAGGAACTACCACACCTATATCCCAACCACTATCTAATTCATTGTCCTATAATAGTGTATCACTATAACAATTATATTTAGGAGATAGGAGACAGTATGATGAAGAAAAAAATAACATGTATGCTTTCAATTATGAGCGAAATATCATATTTAAATATTTTAATAATGATGATGAAATATTGCAAGAGACATTCTTCTTCAATAATACAAATAAACTAGAAAGAAGAGAAATTCCAAGCAGAATACTTGAAGAGTTACATTTAATACAGATAATAATAGGAGATTTCTATTCTCTATTATAGTGAAAAATGTTTAACAATTATTAATCACAACATTACCTAGTAATTAATCATTAAAGCTATCAAATTTAAGAGTAACAACTTCATCAATAGGAAATACAAATAGTAGATCATCATTGGGAAACCCTTATAATTTTTTTCAAGTAATTCAATATAATCATATATTTGACCTTTTAGCATCACTTGATCCTTTTTGAAGTAGCAACCTATTGCAAATTGTTAACTAATAAGTAATCATTAGTTTAGGAGTAACCCAAATAACAGAAAAAATAATATAATAGAACATCAAAATATAACTACTGAAGAGACTTTACAGTCAATAATGGTAGCTTAATCATATAGCATGCGATCACCATCAAACTCTTAGAAGAATAGTTTTCAACTAACTAATATAACAATTTCTCAGTTGATATCTAGCAGTATATTATCAACTAATATAAATACTTCTCAATGAATACCTACATTTCAACTAGTTATAGTACCAATAAGAGGAAATAATGATAATGCTTACCTTCAAATTATATAAGGTTTAGCAGAATGATTCTAAGAACAACAAATAAGAAAACAATGGTTAGTAGATCTACCAATATTTAGAGAAGGAAATCAGGATTCAGTAGAGTAACTTAAGGTTTTGAACAAGCCTATAAAGCAAATCATATCAATACTACTTAAATAGTTAAAATAGTTTTTAGCTATTTAACAGGAATAGCATTAACATAATTTTAATGACAGTATATTACTAATTGGAACAGTAGAATCAATCCTGGTACTTCTTTCGTACTATTATTTGAATAATATTTCTGCAATATATTTTAATAAAATTAATGGAAGTATTAATTTAGGCATAAGAAATAGAAGCTAGATGAAACTATTGATAAATACGCTACCACAATAGAAGAATTGTAGAAAAGGGTTAACTCACAGTATAGGCGAGCTGAGATGGATAGAATAGCTAAATTTATTGAAGGACTACAATCAGAATTTATAGTACTAATGTAAACAACAATGGTAATGATAGTAGACCAAGCAATCGAAAAAGTCAGAGCAGTAGAATCTGCATATCTATTAGAATGGAACTATCTGCTTATTTGTTAATGCTTAATTATATGCAATTATTACAAGAAGGGATAGTACCAGCTCATACAAATATAGCAATGCAACCTATATATGTCATATAATAATCAGATATTGAAAGTACTATTAATCACAAATTAAATGAAGAATTACAAGTGATTATGACAAACATTGGGCAACAACAGCAATAATAACAACAGCAATAATAACAATAGCATCAGTAGCAGTAGCTATAACAATAACTATGTGAATCCTTTAATTGTGAAAAATTTGAACACTAGATTAAAGATTGTAGAAGTAATCAATATATAAATAATAACCAATCAAATATTGAATGCTTTAACTATAGAAAGTTTGGCCACTTTGCTAGGGATTGCAGCAGTAATAGTAAGGAATAGGAATTATAGGAATAATAATAATAATAATAATAATAATAATAATAGTAATAATAATAATAATCAGCAGTATTTAAACTAGAAGTCACACCTCTTAAGATGAGTATGTGAACAAACTAAAGTCTCTAAAAGCAAAAAAAGAGAAAGAATCAAAAAAAAAATATTCAAAGTAAAATAAAAACAAAAAATAAATTTAATAGAAGTACCCTATATATGTAGAGGAATGAATTCAAAAATGCAATTTGAAGGACTATATAAAAACAAATATAATCACTCCAGTTGTAGAAAATATAACTATCACAGTCATATTATATATATAAATTGTAATAAGATTGCTAAAGAAATAGTAGCACAATATGAATGTAAGGAAGTAAAATAGAAGAATCCATTAACAATAAAAGGATTTTTAGTAAAAATCAATCAATTAAACCAATAAATCTTTAACAATAAAAAGAAATCACTGTTAAGAAAAAGTCAAAATATGTATTAAAAATTTTATATAATGATAAAGGAATCTATCTTTCAAAATGAATTGATCTAAACAAGAAAATGTATAATTTATGATAAACAGTCAGCAGAAAAGTTGAACTAGAAGAATCATCACTAAGGGTTATGATTCAAGAAATTGATGAGAAAACTGGAATACAATTGGATGAAGATCACAGAATATATTTTAAATGATCCTATATATAATTGTGATATATATAAAGTAAAGTTAAATAAGGAAATACCTCAATGTACTGAATGTACTAAATATAGTAATTTGGCAATATTTTGAATTTGATGAATATTTACAAATGGCTGGACTAAATGAACTAATATAAATGTATAATAAATATGAAGAAATTTTCATAATTAAACTAAAAGAACAAATTATTACTAGTAATACAATATGTGATAAACCTATTAAGAACGTATTATTTATTGAAGCTCAAATGGAAGGATACCCTGTAAATATTCTAGTTGATACTAAATCTGTAGAAAGTATCATTACTCAGTAGTATCTCAGACAAATCAATAGAGAAATTGATGAACCTGCAAAAATAAAAATCATGGAGATATATGAAAAAACTAAGGAATTACAGTAGAGGTTAATAGAATAATTATTAATAAGGATATGCTAGTGACCAATATTATAGGATATAATATTATTTTAGGAAATACCTAGTTGCAAAAAGTTCATGCTATCATTGACTATGATACTGATATCTTAGTCATATAATAAGATGATTAAACTTCTATAATACTCATGACTTGTACTCAAGATATACATCCAGAAAGATTCATACTAATCAAACCTAAAATAATAATAGATAAATTAGAATTTGAAGAGGAAGAAGATATCGATATCCAATAATGTTTTGCTATTATTTCTAAGGAAAAAGAGAATATGATTCAAATAAATAAAAAAGAATATCCTGAAATATATCTATAATAAATTGAATATGAAATGGATATTTAACAAAATAGAAATTAGAAAGGATTGACTACATGTTGGTATTTAAAAAACTTAAAAAATGAGGGCTAATGTGATGATTATAGAGAAATTGTAAGGATAGTACAAACTTATTAATACTATAGGAATAGTATAGATTTACAAGTTGCTTATAAAGTTCAAATTGAAGAGAATGATATTCAAGTAGAAATTGGTAAAGATTCAGAAAAATATATAACCTGTGAAAAATTAATAGATGTTTTTTTAGGACAACTAAAGGTATTTCTTAAAAAAAATCTTGAGAATTTTGCGATTACAATACAGGAATTAATATATTCAGAGCAATATAAGCATTGTATATTTACTAAAGATATACTACCAGTTGTACTAAAGTCATACTGAACGTCATTTAAGAATGATCAGTATATTCAACAGAAAATTCAAAATATGTTAGATCAAGGAATAATACAACCTTCTCAAAGTCAATGGAGCTTACCTGTAATTCTTGTAAGAAAAAAGAATAGAAAAATGAGATTCTATGTAAACTATAGGAAATTAAATGATATAATAATAAAGGATTGATATCCCTTACCAAGAATCAATGAACTATTAGAATCCTTAAGAAGAGCAACATGATATATTACCTTAGACTTAACTTCAGGATACTGGCAATTTAATATCAGGAAATAGGACAAATCCAAAATAGCATTTATTACAAAGCATAGATTATATAAATTTAATATAATACTATTTGGGTTATGCAATGCATCAGCTATCTTCCAATGAGTTATAGATAATATATTATATAATATAAAAGGAAAATTTGTACTAGTATACTTTAATGATATCATCATATTTTTTAAAAGTTATGATAAACATCTACAACATCTTCAACAAGTTTTCAATTTATTGAAGAAAGCTCAATTGAAAATAAATCCAGAAAAATGCTATTTTTGTACAAATGAAATTCAATTTTTGAGATATGTAATATCTGAATAAGGAATACAACCCAATCCAGCAAAAATTGAAAAGATCATTAACCTCAATACTTTATTTAATATTAAACAATTGCAAACTGTATTAGAATTATTTTCCTATTACTGACGCTTTATTAGAAATTATTCTAAACTGATAATCCTATTGAATGATTTATTGAAAAAGGATATGCCTTATAATTGGATAAAATGATACTAAGAGATTTTTGAAATACTTAAAGAAAAATGAATGACTGCGCCAATCTTATCTTATCTTGATATTAATCAATCTTTTATTTCGAATACTAATGCAAATACTATAGGGTTAGATGTAATACTTTCACAAAAAAATAATAAAGAAAGAGAACATCTTATTTGATATACAAGCAGAATATTAAATTCAGCAGAAAAGAATTATCATATTACTGAATAAGAGGCTTTAGCAGTAGTATAGGCAGTTAAATATTTTAGGAGGTATTTAGAAGATAATATATTTACTATATATACTGATCACTCAGTATTGCAGTGATTATTAAATAAACTTACTAAGAAGAAAGATAGTAAAAGAATTATTTGTTGGAAAATTCTACTATAACAATTTTAATTTGAGGTAAAATATCGTAAAGAAAAGGCAAACACAAATGCTGATACTCTCTCAAGGATTGATGAATTATAAGCATTAAACATATCACAAACATTAACATCAATAATAGATCATGAATAAACAACAATATCAAAATATAACTCAATACCTCACCAACCTCAATTACTCAAAAAATTATAGTACTTCTCAATAGAAACAAATTTAATGATTATCAACCCACTACATTATTAAAAATTCACAATTATATAAACTAACTAAAGAAAAATTAATAAGAGTAATTACACAAG